AGATGTTCAAATATTCCTCCATCGACTGCTAGACAATAACCCAGGCAATCATAAAATTTTCTTCTTACATTCGCTAGTTGGTAAACTGAAATTCTATTGCATTCGGCAGAAATAGCATTTTTTAACTCGTCTAGATTTGGGTATTTTTTATCCTTGTATATCCTGTTTTTTAAATGGCCCCAGAGAAAGGAATCATTTGGCGAAATATCAGGAGACCTTGCTGGCCAATTTACTGTATGATTTAGGCCAATAACATTTCCGTTAAAACTATTGTCTAAATATTCCCGAACAGCCAGGGTACTACGTGCCGGGCAGCCATCCATTTGGTACCAAACTTCCTGATTTTCCTTAGCGGCATCATGTGAAGCAGGTAAAATATAATTTTCAAGTAGTTCCAAATAATATTCTGCATTTAAATTTCGCGTAAGAAATAATGGCCAGATAATATTATGTCCGAATATCGCTGCCCAAACATTTACTTTCTGTGGATATTGCGTCCTTGTTTCGACAAACCTGTGTTAGTTTTCTTTGTTCTAATATCGATAATTTTGAACATTGGGTTCATTATTTAAGGTAAACGTGCATTCGTCAGTGAAACATATGTTTTTTAAAAATTCCCTATCTGTTTGCTGTAAAACTCGAAGTGACCGATAATAATTGAATACTAGTCACTCATATATAATATATCATGATTCATCATAATATCATGATTCATCATAATATCATGATTCATGATATACTAATGTTATTTTTATTTATTTGATATGTTCAAATGTCGTTTTTTTTCTGGAAAAATAAAAATAAAAAAAACTTTCGTGGGTGAGCCATTTTTGAAAATCACCCGGTATAATAGGGCTTAAATTTTGATAATTATGTTACAAAAATCAATTACATTTAAAAATTGAATTAAAAATCTCGAAATTACTGAATAATTAAAACTAAATTTAACTGAAAAAACTTTTCTTCTTCAACAGAAGTTTTATTGAGAATAATAAGTATTTATTCTTAAGGATGGAGAAGATCCTAAAACTTCCGAAGAGCTTTTAAAGAAGAATGAAGTGTTTATTGAATCAGGCCTTTTACAGCTTTTATTGAAATCCTTCAATTCTATTAATAAACGATCTTGAGGGAGAGGAAGTTCCTATTTTTTAACATTTCAGCATGATGAATGTAGAATGTAGGGGCATGATAGAGATGTGTAGTTTTTTTAATTGCTAAAATTGCTAGTGTATTTACAATTAGACAGTAGAAATAAAATTTGAGATTTTTAAACGTCATGAAAATCTAGAAATTTTTTTCCCATTCGTCATGTATTTTTTTCAGTATTTCAATTCACTAAAAATTTAGAAACACTTTAAATACAAAAAATGTTTGTATTTTAAGCCTACGTCTAAAAGAAAAATAATATATAATAGCATTTAAATATTAAATAATATAAATAATAAATAAATATTAAATAGCATTTAAGAAAAATGGAGATAAAGCATTATAAATATTGCAATGTTGGCCTAGCCATAAAAAAATACCTTGTATAAGATAATGTGAATTTTCCTATTCAGGTCGTTATCCTTGGTGTTGAAGTATATTGAAAATATTGTCAAGACTTAAATAAATGTCAACTTGGGTTTATATCAAATTGGGAAAAATCATATAAAATATAATTCTACTAAACCAATTTAATGTAGGCCCAAGAGATCGGTTACCTGCATAACATCGATCCAGATATGTTTTTAAATAACATTAAAAATTAAACAATTAAAATAAAACAATGTTGGGTTCGATTTCCTCATGGTTATAGCTGGGTGAATGTAATTAGATGGAAAAATATTGAACCACGTAACCAGCGATGACCACGAGGGATAGGAAAGATAAAAAGATTATAGTGAGTTTGAGCAGTTAAACGGTAGTTAGTCGAGTTAACTGAGAAGACAGAAGTCAACCCGTCAGCTAAGAAGATGCTGTTGTAAGTACTCCTCTCAGCATACTCTGTACTTTGTTTAGTCTTGATATTTCCAAGAATTGTTGTTTAAAACCGTTGTATATCCGCTAAATAAATGTATTTTTTCTTAACAGTTGAGGTGCCGGGTATCCTGTATACTTAAGTATTATTAAAGTTAAATTTACCACTTTTCGGAAGTACTATTTTTGATCAAAGTTTTTTAGGAAATATGAAATAACATGGCAACCCCGCACATTTCTTCAAATAAGAATACTGTGATGTATACTAAATTTTATGAAGCAGAAAAAGATATATGTAAAGATATTTGAGTTAGATGCTACAGGGTGTTCAAAATATCATATACCTTAGAAAATATTACTTATGAAATTTGCTACAAAAAAAGTTCTTATACTTATTTTGTTTTTTCGAATAAATATCGAGCAGCAAGCGATCGAAGTTAGGGGTAGTTTTCAGCGTAGATGATTTTTGACCTAACCTTATCAAATTATTTAATGTCAATGAATAAAATATCTTAAGATGTTAAAATAATGTTCAGTTGTTGCAATGGTAACAAAATTAGTATATTTTTTGAGTATTAAGGGACATTTTGTTGTAAAATTGGACCATTTTTAATTTTCAACAGATATAAAAATTTATTTGCGATTGCAATTTATTGGCGATTGCTGAAGCATTCGTGTCGTGACATTGTTTTTGATAGCAATACCTTATTGGTCGAACAGAAAAGCAAATTCCTAGGCAATATTAAAAATAAAAAACGACTAATTTTGCAGCTTGCAATACGCCTAAACAGCGAGAATATTAGCACATCATTTGCAATAGATGATGCTGATGTTCAAATTATTCGTACTGCCATCAAAATATCTGAGAAAAATTAACAAGTTCTAGTCGTTGGACAAGATGTCGATCTTGTTGTTTTATTAGCAACACTTTCCCCCGATGAAAAAGACATTCTTTTTCTGGAAGAAGCCATAGGTCATGTGAAACAACGAATGTATAGTTCGAGAGACTTGCAATCATCCAGTATTATACGTAATGTAAAAAAATCAATTTTATTTATTCACGCTATTAGCGGGTGTGACACAAAATCAGTATTTTTTGGAAAAGGAAAAGAACAACACGTACAAATAGCTAATAAAGAAAAAGACCTTGATAGTATCGTCGATATTTTTAACAACGCAAATTCAACACCTGAAGAAATTGAAAAAACTGGAGAGACGTTTATACTGAAACTATACAAACTTCAATCATCTGAAGGGAGCCTAGTGAGCAAAGGTACGCTTGTTTCAATAAGTTAGTTGGTCAAGCAAACAGTACGGTACTTTTATCAAAATTGTCTCCCACATCTGCTGCAGCTAGGCAACATTCCCGGAGAACATATCTTCAAGTACAAATATGACAAGAACAACCTATAAAATCCGACCAGTGGGGCTGGAAGAAAATCAACAACGCCCTGTCATCTTTATATACAACAGAATCGCCCGCCCCTGCTTCAATTATGTCATTAATAACGTGCAACTGCAAACAAGATTGTGTAAAAAGATGCAGTTGCATTAAAGCCGGCATGAAATGTACAACTATGTGCGGAACCTGTCGTGGGCAAAGTTGTTCGAATACTGAGCACATTCTAGAAACTATAGACGATTACAATATGTAGATAAAAGTATGAATGTTAGTTTAGTGGAATAGGCAATGTTTTTGTTTATATTATACAGTATTATATCTGTTGCGTGTATAATTAGCACGTTAAAATATCTTGGGAGACTATAATTTGAAAGGCGACCTGTATTTTTTTGTACTCCATTTTTCAAACGGTTATTGCTCGAAATGCAATGGATAAATATAAATAATGAATAGAATTTTTTATGTAGCAAATTTTATAAGGAATATTTTCGGTAAGTATAATTTTTTTTGTGGGACCAACGGGTTCTGAGAAAAAAAGCGAAAAACCATCGAAGGGCGTATTGGGGGTGGTTTTTTGGGGCGAAGCTCACACTTTAAAGCTAAGAACTCTTTTGCTTTTGAAAAATCTCCTTTTGGTGCATCTAATCTCAATATATCATAACTTTATATATTTTTTCTTCAATTCAGCTATTTTAGGTCTAATATAAATATACTATCTATCGTTGATCAAATGTAAGCATAGTCTGTCCAATGACAGATTTCAAACAATCACAGTTATTGTGTGTCACAGTTATTATAACCTAATATCAAATTGTGTTTTCGGCCAACGACGTCCTTGGTTGAAATCGTCCCATCCCTGGCTGAACAGAACATGCATATCTAATGAGTCTAAATCCTTTCGGTAAATTAAGTTTCCTTAAAGCCACGTTTAAAAAAAGAAAAAGGGTAAAAACCGAGCCAAATTAGTTATGCTATTCCGTCCAGTTCAACTTCTATAGGTATGTATACGGACATTTCCCTCGCATATTTAACAAGCTCAATTTTGGCTTGCGCTTTTTGCAGACGCTCAAAAGTAATTTTGAAAAGACCCTTTCTCAGACTGTGCAATTCATTATCTCGTCGAGTTTACCGGCGATGGTGTTTCATCCTGGTTTTCATTTTCCACATAGAGAACGACGACGCTTTGACTGGATCAAAGTGAATATAATCCGCGATGGTTTGTGTGCTAGATGAGTGCTAAATTATACATATATACGAGTATATACTATGTAGTCCGTGTGATTTTATACAATTCATACAAAAAATTGAAGTTTTGTTTAAACATAATTTGAACATTATATAAAATTCAATTATAGTTATTTTTATACAAGACGATAAAATGGTATTTTATCGTCGACCTAAAAGATTAATTCACGAGCGATGAAATCGCCAGTGAATTAAGTTCGGGAGACGATAACGCAATTTTATTGTCTTGTATAAAACAAAATTATATTATATTTGTCATTATAAAAGTAAGCATTACACTATATACTACTCAGGATAAGAAGAAGGGAGCAGGAATGGTGTTGCTTTTGCTGTGCCAGACAAAATAAACAAATATGTAGCCGGCTACGAGGCAGTAAGCTCACGAATTATAACAATGCGTCTGAAACCGTGCAATCTGAATCTTATACAAATATATGCTCCAACTACAGATGCAGATGATGGTGAGATAGAAGGGTTTTATACCTCATTAGAAACAGTTTTTTCTCGTTTTTCATCTAAAGAAGTTACGATAATTATGGGAGATTTTAATGCAAAAATCGGCGAAACAACACAGGACAATCATATACGCAGCACGGTTGGCAAGTACGGGTTGGGAATACGTAATGAAAGAGGAGAAAGGTTAATACAGTTCTGCCTGGATAATAATTTATCTATCTGTAACTCTCTTTTTCAACAATCAAAACTCCGCCTCTATACATGGACATGTCCAAATGGTATACACAGAAATCAAATTGATTACATTCTTATTAAAAACCGTTGGAGGAGTTCAATTCTGTCAACCAAAACACTACCCGGAGCTGATTGTGGATCCGATCACCAACTTCTACAATCAACATTTCGATTGAAACTAAAAGTAACCAATAGGAAAGTATCCCGTGTCGTGCCACCACTGACAAACACCGAGGCTTTTCGTGAAAGGCTAGAAAATGAACTAAATAATCAACAATCGGTTACTAGCAACATACAAACCTCTACAGAAATGTGGGACAATTTTAAAAACATAACACTAGATATCATAAACGAAACCCAACCAAAGACAACACGCAACAAACAACATTGGATCTCAGAAGGTACCTTACTACTTATCGAAGAAAGACACAAACTGAAAACAAAAGGTCTAAAGAATTATGAGGACTCTGAATCATTTAACCTCCTTTCTAGAGCTATTCAAAGAGAATGTCGCAGTGATAAAAATAATTTTTATAACATTTGTTCCGAAATACAAACACATGCAAACACCTTAGAGACAAGACATTTGTTCTCCAAAATAAAGCAAATTACGCGTAAGTTTGCTCCAAGAACATGGGCAATTCACGATGCTGACACCCAGCTTTTGACAGAAATTGAAAAAGTTATCGAGAGATGGAGGAAATACTGCGAAGAGTTGTATACTGACGCGACCTATATACCAGCCGTCCAAAACACGATTACAGAAGAACCAGAACCAGACATCCTACTTTCTGAAGTAGAAGCAGCTATTCGAAATCTCGGCCTACGAAAATCTCCAGGTATCGACAAAATAACAGCAGAATATATAACCAGTATGGGTCCCACTGGAATAAGATTACTACACGAACTTTGTCAAACTATTTGGCACACAGGACATTGGCCAAGTGACTGGTACACTTCCGTAATCATCCCGCTACACAAAAAAGGCTCCACAAAAGATTGCAATAATTACTGACTGATTGCACTACTCTCCCATGGCAGCAAAATTATGCTATACATACTCAAGCAAAGGCTATCGAACTACATAACTTGGCAACTTGCACCCGGCTTTGTGAAGGAGAGAGGAACTCGAGAGCAAACACTAAACCTTCGCCAGCTAATAGAAAAATCTCGAGAATACTACACGCCTATGTATTTATGCTTTGTGGATTACGAAAAGGCTTTCGATAACGTATGTTGGGGACAATTATGGAGTATAATGTCTGAAATGGGAGTACCACAACATCTTGTAGAGATAATAAAAGGTCTATACGATAGCAACCGAGCAGTCGTGAAGTTGGATGGAAGTATTTCCGATATTTGTCAAATAAGGAAAGGAGTACGTCAGGGTTGCGTGTTGTCCCCGATGCTGTTTAACATTTACAGCGAAGACATTATGAGGATTGTGATAGAAAAATGGACAGGGGGTGTATCATTGAATGGCTACAGCCTATATCAAACCTACGTTTTGCTGATGACACGGTATTGGTAACCGCCAACCAGCTGGAACTGAGGACAATTCTAACAAAATTGGAAACTACCAGTAGAGAGTTCGGCCTTCGCATCAATTACAGAAAGACTAAGGTGATGATCGTAGATCGCGAAAACAACAACTGCCCAAACATCACAAACATAGATCGCTGCGAAGTTGTGCAACAATTTATTTATTTAGGTGCACTTATATCTAATACCGGTAGTTGCGAAATGGAAATACGCCGCAGAATTCAACTGGGCCGTAAAGCTATGACGCAGCTCACGAAAGTTTGGTCGAATAGTCACATAACACAATCGACAAAAATCAATCTTGTAAATAGTCTTGTCTTTCCGGTTATGCTTTATGCTTCTGAGACATGGACATTGTTGGCAGCCGACAGACGACGCATTGACGCCTTGGAGATGTGGTGCTGGAGGAGGATGTTGCGAATACCATGGACAGCATATCGCACCAATGTGTCGGTCCTTAATGCAATCCAATTACCACAAAGACTTTCCAGCACTGTCTATAAACCCATCCTTTCCTTCTTCGGTCACGTCAACAGGAGCGGGCATATGGAGAGACTTGTAGTGCAGGGAAGACCTGCAGGATCCCGTCGCCGAGGAAGATCACCAACCAGGTGGGTGGACATAGTTGAAAAACTTATGAATACCAACCTGGAGGGTGCCGTTCGAAGAACTGAAAACAGAGAAAATTGGAGACGGGCGGTGCGTGCGGCCGTCAGGTCCTTAGAGCCAGAACCAGTGCCACTACACGTCGTACGCGACGTACGGACTTAGACGACGATAAAACAATATTTGTTTCCATAGTGAGTTACGTTTTAAAAAAATATTCAGAAATTATTATTTCAAGGAATTTATTACGAGCAGAAAAAATATTGTGCTGGGTTGGCGTTGGTTTCTATAATAGGATATTAATTTGACAAATAAAAAATAAAGCTGTCTCTTTAGTTGTCAGTTTTGAGTCAATATTTTTTAATTCTCTTTCGTGTCGATTGCTGATTGAATTGGAGCCAGAAATGGCTCAAAACGAAATAAGTAAATTACCAACAGATATTCAGGCTGAGGCGACACACGCTATATCCAAACTACTTCCATTTAAATCCCGATTAACTTATGAAAAGGAATACAAAAATTTTCAAAAATGGAAGCAATTAAAAAACGTGCGAGAAGAAAGATAAAGTGAAAACATACTTTTAGCATTTTTCTGAAAAATCGAGGAATATGCAGTAGGGTGGATCGAAAAATCGAAGTTTTGAAAATCGTTTAGGAATACTTCGCAAAAGTTGCCAATTGGTATTAGAAAACTAATATCTATTTAAAGTTTTTCAATTTTTTTTTCATCTTTTGCCCTCTACCGGGCTTCCAAAAAAGTAAAAAATACAAAAATATAAAATTTTGATTTTTAGCCAAAATTTCAGGTAATAAGTTACTTTTGGAGTTAGAAATAATATATCTTATTGAAATATGACATTTTAACCCCCCTACTCAGTGTACACTGTGTACGAAGGTCAAACAATTTTTTTATAAATACCCAAATATTTACACACTTTAACAAAGAGTTAAAAATGTGTCCAGCAGAGCACTTAGAGCAGTTTTTCGCTTGTTTAACAATATTTTATGTATTCAGTATTGTTAAACAACCCAGAACTCACCACGGGGAGGTAATTGCTCGGCGAGTTCCCATCCCACCCTCCCTCATCCATTTATTTTTGCTCACTTATTGATTGTAGTCTTTTTTGACTCAAATTGTGGCATAAGTTTGCGCGAATCTATTTTTGTCTTTATATATAAAACCGTCTCTCTTTTGTATGCCTGCAACTGATAAAGATGCGTCGGTTACAAGTTTTATGCATCTCTCTACTGATTGAGTGTGAGAGGGAAATGCAGCGATGGCGATGATTGTTTCAGAAGAACTAAAAATCATATTTTTCAAATCATCTACTTCCAAAGTTTGGAACAATGGGGGACAAGTTATTTCATTTTTTTGCCAATCAATTAGATCAACACAGTCATCTGCGTCAAAATTAATTTGTGGGATTTGTGGCAGACCAATCTTTGTAAAAGGCGTCCTAATTTTAATTCTAATTGAGAAAGTGCACCATTTTTTTTCCTGTATTCACCACGGTTCCATCACATCCTACTGCTACTAGTTCTTCTAGGTTATATTCATTACTTTCGAAGAAGTTCACAATACTTTGACGAATGCTTAGAACCGATACAGAATTGGGAACTGTGTGACCCAACAATATAGAACCCGGCTCCTGAAATAAAGAAATATGTTCTTCAAGTACAGTTCTTCTGTGGGACTTGCCTTCAATATTTTCAATAACATAGGTTTTATCTTTCCTTCCGTCAAAATAAATGGTCTTCAAAGTTTCCGAGGAGTTTTGCTTAAAACTGTTTCTTGTTTGCTCTCTTGCTCTTCTCAGCTTACAACGAGAGAGATCTGTAATGTTTTTTTTATCGTCTTTGGTGACAATTCCAAGGTCGTGTAGCACTGCCGTTGCCACTGCTTCTGCAGATCTATCTGATAGTCCATAGATCAATGTTGCAACACAATGTCGGTCACAAACTTTATCCAGGGTAGGAAGTTTGACAAAAAATTTTGTACGCTGGATTTTTCTCTTGATACTGTCATAGAAAGTGAAAGGCAATTCATGATCAATTTCTATATCTGTCGATGATTTTCGCTTTCTTGATAAATTGATGTTGCTTTCATGTTGGATGGATTATTGTAGTTCTTTCCGTTGCATATCTTTTTCTCTTCTGCTGGCCTTGTTTATCAGCTTTGAGGTTTCCATTATAACAATTTTCCTAATAACCATTTTTCTAAGCCCCCTCTGATCTATCAAAAAAACCTGTTCATTTTTAGGTACCTTTTTTTTCCTTTTCGCAAGAACATTGATCAAAAAATTCGCATTTGCATGCGCGGTTATCAAACAGGAAAGTATTCTCGGTTTGAAATTCTTTTTTTCAATTTTTAACAGCCGGTAGAGGGCAGAAGACAAAGGTAGAGGGCAGAAGAAAAATATTTGAATAAACTTTTTTATCAACATTACTAAAGGTAACTTTTGGTAGATATTCCAAATCGATCTTTCAAAAAAAATTCATTTTTTAAGGGCTGGTAGAGGGCAGAAAATGTGATTTTATTAAAAAGTTGTAGTAACACTTTTTTATCAACATTACCAAAGGCAACTTTTCGTAGGTATTCCAAGTCGATGTTTTAAAAATTTTAAATTTTGAGATTTACGATCCACCCTAATATGCAGCCGTCCAGTTTATGGTCGTACTATTCAATGCTAAAAAGTATTTGATATTTCAAGGTTTAAGGATAAGCTAAGGATAAGAGTATACCGTTTAAATTTCCGTAGTAGTATAGTAACATCTAAACTTTGTAGATATAACTAGCTCATAGCTTTCTTGAAGCAGTCGTCAGGTTACAAACCGAAAAAGTCAAAAATTTTAAACCCAGAAGACGTCGTGAAATTTCTTTGCACTGCTGGAGATAATGAATATCTTCTTGTTAAGGGTTAACTGAGAATAACCTTAAAACTATAAAGTCTAAAGTTTTTTTTTGGATTACAGGTTATAGCTATAGTCGGTTTACATGGAGCATGCCGTTCGGATGAATTGTACAAATTAGAAGTTGGCAATCTTGATGATCGACATTCTGTTATAGTTGTTTCACTTCTAAAACTAAGACAGACCGGTCGTTTTGTATTACAGAAAAAAAATATTGGGACTGCGTTTTGGAGATTATACGAAAATACATTGCCCTACGCCCTAATAATGTGATTGGAGAATAAAGTTTTTAACCTATCCTCGCTGTTAAAGTATCATTTAATCTACTATTTTTGATAGATATAAGGCAATTTTAACAGTTGCTATGGAAAAAATGAACATATTAAGATGTAGCTGATGAAAGGTGTAATATTATATACAGTATATCCCCGGATTGTATTTACAAGAGGAAAACTTTTTTATTATGGGCATTTTGAGAAAAATGGATTCTTCATTAAAGTTTTTGCTTGTTCTAAAATGGTTAATCTCGTTTATGCCTTTCCAAATTTTCATACCATTTTAGAGAAAATTAAAAAAAAACATGAAAATATAGGTGAATTTTAGTCTTAAATCCTAAAAATAAAAGGTGTTTCTATGGTAATATCATTCCGATTTCATTCTTTCGTCCTCCTCAGGCTCCAGCCGGTTTATATACCCACAGCTAAAGAGTTCTCGAATAATCCAGATTGGTAACACATTACGGCATTTCGTAAATGACTGTACAGGGTGTCCCATTTTGGTTGAAATCATACGGTATCTCCGTTATTAGTGAAGATAGAAGGGTGCGGTTTGCACAAACCTTTCTCACTTTTTTGTCAAACGGAAGATGCCGTAAACAAAATTTTCATAGCCCTCTTCGTTTCCGAGCTACAGGGTCTTTTTGAAAATTTTGCAATTTGGGACACCTCCTGTATCTCT